AGAATTTAATGCGATATTGGGATATCACCGAGATCTTATGGAGAGCTCTCGATAAGCGATTATATTTCCATGGAAATCATTCGGAGTGGTGCGGATACGGAACTTCCGATAAACGGTACTACATCCTTGATCTGTTGTGATCGCCTTGACTATCAGCTGTGGCAATTTCGTCGAATTGTTTTGACTAATATGGCAATTGAATATGAATTTCTACTTCCTGAACCCAAAGTGTGCATTATAGAGTATATTTGAATCAAACAAACAAGAGAGCTGCTGAGAATTTTTCCGAATTTTTCGTTATGTCATGCATTTACTTCCTCATTCATTTTTTTTCACTGGTTCATACCAACATCCAGAGAGAATTTCATGCTTCGACTGTTTCCAAGTGTTGTAGATTTTAAATTTTTTTGCGTTAAGAACGGAAAAATATGTTCTTTCAGTGCTTATTTGCTTGTTGTTTTCAATGCATTTTGTTCATTTCAACAAGGAGAAGTGAAGTGAATAGCTTTCTCTACACATCAGTTTATGATAATTCACAGGAGTATTTGCATTAATCTCTCAAGAGATGTAATTACGAGATCAGTCTGTGGAACACGGGTTTGTTTATAGATAAAATATATCAACATGTTGGTGAGGTCGGGATGTGATCCGTCAATAAGTGATGCCAAGCAGAAACGTACTCCCTTGATGCTGGCTTGTCTAATGAGGAACGAAGCANAAGATACTACTGAACCATTTCGTACAAGTTGAGGACATCAGCCACTACGTCGTTTCATAGACTGCGTTCCTAGAGATAATTCTGCTTCTTATGTCTACGTGATTACCAAGATATCTTTAGACTGACTGTCAGTGGATTGTTTCTTTTTTTTATAGCTTTGATTCGCAGTCATTAGCATCATCAATCAGAGGTAATCAGAAAATGGTTATTGCGAATAGTCTCGATTCACTGTTCACGGTACCGTGTTTTGAGTTTTCGTGATTCAGCTGAAGGTGAATCTGACCGCAGCCGATCGCTTGGGCAATACTGCGTTGATGTATGCGGCTATCTACGGTCAAACGTCAATTGTTGGAATGTTGGTGAATGAGTTGACAAGGCGATGGAGTTTCGACGTGTTTCGAGCCAGGAATCTCATGGGTTACACGGCTGAGGCATTGGCCAAAAAGAACGGACGTTATGAATGCTCAAGGTTACTTTCAAAGCGATCGATCTAGTGATGATCTCACTCTTAATCAATGTTTTTTGACATGATATGTGTTTGAAAGTATTACCGAATAAAATCCCTTATTCGGTGAAGTTAAGCGAAATCAATCACGTTTGGTATTATTTCACGAGATATAGCTACCTGATGTACAAATTCTTTGAAACGTCCACTTACAATTCATATAATTTCGTCCATATAACACACAGAAAGCTCATCTGTTTTGCTATTGGATTAAAATCGTTCA